TCTTAATTAGTTGTAAATTGAATAGGAGACAACTCGTGCTTTTCAATTTGTTGTCACATTTTGTTTGGGTGGAGATCGGCCTGGCTTATTCTTCAATTCAACAATGTCCTCATTAATTAACTACTTATCTTGGGACACTCGACTATTATTTTTATTTATTTACTATAAGAATAAACACTTGACACTATTCCTTAAAAAAAAGAGAAGAGTACCTTTACTTTAAAAAACACGTTTTCGAAAATAAATAAAAAATTAAACAATCAAAGAAGCACTTTCTTGCAAAGAAAGACGTATCACGGTGGCATTTTTAATAAAAAAAGAGTTGGTAGAAGTGTTTTGTTTCAGAATTTCTTTTTATATTCAGACTAAACATTTAGAACTTTTTTTTCAATCTTTGCAAAAATTAGAAAACACTAATCGAGTAATTTTTTTACCAAGCGGTTGGATATAGATTTGGTTGAACCTTGAAAAACAAGTTTTTGAACTTGTGTTGAAAAATAATTTTTGGAAGTTGAAGTTGTGTTTGGACATGTATTTTATTTGAAAAAAACTTGAAGTTTTGTGAGTGGAAGAAAAAATTTCACCCAAAGACTATCATAAACCAGCTTTTGGAAACTAGAAATTTTTTGAATTTTTTCCCGAAACATGATCATATTTCATAAATAAATAATATTTTCAAATATTTTTTGAACAAAAGAAGTTTAAATATATGGTCAAACGGGAGCTTAGTTTTAATACAAACTACACAAATAATGAAACAAACACCATATTAGGCGCCGCTCCTTAAATATGTGTACATAATATATGGATTATATAAATTTCCTCCAGCGTTTTCTGGTTGATTTAAAATTGTCACTATTTATTGTTCAGATAAGTGGGGTTTAATGTTCAAACTTTAAGATTTAAGGTTTATGTAAACGTGTTGATCGATATCAGTAAATTTTAAACTCCGCTCAGTGTTACACTTTCCTATATATCTCAGTTACACATTTGTATATATTATTTACCAAATGTTTTTATTATATGTTTAAAGTAAAACTTTTCTCGAGGCAATCCCAACTTGTGCACGCAGTTAACTAATTTACTTCTAACATCCGAACAATGGAGTCTGTTATTTCATTAATTTATCCTTTAACGTATTCGTGTGTTACACTCAGAAAATTCCAGTTTTAGGCATAATTATACAAATAGATAGTTAGGGCAAATCAGATGTTTCAAGGTTGATATTTGATTACTAAAACATGTAGTAGAAATATTATTAATCTTCTTGGAAAATAGGGGTAAAAACATTTTTTTTTTTAAAAAAAAACATTGTCTACAAATTCATAGGGAGGTTACTATAATTTAAGTGATCTTTTCACTTAGTGTGATTTTTCAACAGAAGATCATATTCAATTGAACTCCTTCACAAAAGTGGCAATGCCCTTGATTTAGTGCTATGCATAGAACAGTTATTGAGCTTTGAACATACTATTTCAAGTTTACAGCTACCATAGCATCATAGGAGTACTATATATCTTCCCTTGGTCAATAATTTCACTATACCCAAAAAATAAAATTGCTACGAATTTCGTTGTTAATTTATTGTTAATTCATTGTTAAATAGGATTAGCAATAAATATTTCTGGTTAGCTATAAAAATTATTTGTCGCTAATTCATATTTTTTAGTAATGTTCAAGCTTTAAGGTTTAAAAAGTGCACCAAGAAAGAAAATAACATTGTCCAGGCATTTGCTGAAGAAAGGAGAGAAATGAAAAGATGGAGAATGAACATAAAAAGAAGCACTCGGTTAACACAATCGTTCACTTTCTTTATCTGATATAGTTATTTCTTTTACTTTTTTGGGGGCTATTTGTATGTTATTTTGTTGGATATACAGGTTGGAGTAACCTAAAAAATTAAATATTGCCTTCAAGATTCTTTTGGGGTGGGTAGCATTTTCCATAAAAGAGAGTAAAAACAATCTGAGGCAAAGTCCCCATGGTGTCCAAGTTACATTTTTTGCACTAAAATGGAAATTGGTGGGGATTGAAATACACAAACCAGAAGCTGCCATAAGATAATAATAGCATTGAATGCACCAAATTATCTAAATAAACTGAACAGGATATCTAGGAATGAAGTGTGCTGTTTGTCAATAATAGGAAACCGAAATTATATATGGCTATCGGAGCTTATTGAAATACTGACTCCGTTCACTTTTAATTGTCAACTATTCTAAAAATAAATTTTTATTTTTATTTGTCACTTTTCGCATATCAAGAAAAAAATAATTTATTTTTTCTGTTTTACCCTTAGCATTAATTACTCATTCCAAATCCATTAAGACTATACATCAATTAATATGTGTATCGTGATACATTATGTACTTTATTTATTACTCTCTCCGGTCCACAATAATTGACCATTTTACCTTTGGCACACTCATTAAGGAAATAGAACTCCTAGAGATAAATGATATATTCACTAAATTAATCTTAATTAATTGTTAACTTGACACATTGGAATATGTAAATAAGGACATACTTTGAAAAAATAAAATTAATTCTGTCTTGATTATGCAAATGGACATTTATTTTGGACCAAAATAAAAAGGTAATATGGTCACTTTTTGTGAATCGGATGAAGTATTTCTTAAGTGATGTGCAAAATCAATAGTGGACAAGTAAAAGCGAACGGAGCAAATATCAAATATCATGCCTTACAAGAAGAAAGAAGAAGAAGAAATAGACAACAAAGTTAATAGTCCCTATCCCAACAGGGTAAATCATATTTTATTCCAAACACTTGTTAGGCATTTTTCTCTTTTTATTTCTTCAGCAAGTTAGACCTATTTCTTAAAGGATACTTAATTTTTTTCTCCCTCTAAAAGGCTAATTAATGGACTTGATTAGTTAAATTTATATCTATATTATATTAAAAGTACGAAAACTCTTAGTAAAATGTTGTTCGCCTTTTTTACCCTTATAATTTGACTTCATACTTGACAAAATAGACATTTAAATATTTTTTTAATATTTAGAATATTTTACGTAAGGAAAGATCTAATAACCAAAGTTAATTTTGTCCTAAATATTAGAAAAATAATTATTACATTTACCTAATAACTAAATTTTTGAATTCAAGTTATTCAACTATGATTTTGTTCCTTTAAAACTTGAATTCAAGTACGTATATTTTTATTCAGTAAAAAACGACAAGCTAATAGAAAATTCGTCTGGGAGAAGGAAACTACAATAAAAAAGAGAACACTTCAAAAAGCTATGTTTTCTGATTCAAACAGCTTTTGAAGTCACAAACGTCCTATTTTTTTTTATATTTATGCTACGTCAAATTGTTTGGATGAACTTATGAAGATCATCAAGTGCAAAAATCAACGAAAGCAAATTGCCATAGGGGTTTGTAAGTTACTATCTAATCCTTATGCATTTTCTGTATTTTAGATTATGGTGTTATGAGTTGTTAGAAACTTTGGGATTTCATCGAAGTCAACACCGCAACACATAGTTTTAATAAATTTTTATTTTTAATTTTATTTTATGTTCCTCACTCCTCAGAATCTATGTTTTGCAGCTATATATATGCCTTTTTTCAATTTACAATATGAAATTTACCAGACTTTGTTTATTAAAACGGCTTAAAATTACATAGTAGAATGACAGTAGCACATAATTGCCAGACATAGTTATCTGATATTTAGTCAATTTTGTATACACCTATTTGTTTAGTAGGATCATCACCTTTAAGCACAATAAGTTAAGTTAAATCTTAATTTCAAAAGTTTTTTCTACTTATATAAATATTTTTGAAACATTGATAAATTGAAGTATGTCAAATTTTCATTTTACATCATAGTACTTTATAAAGAATATTACAAACTCTACGGACAAAGCAACAAAAGTATAATTTATTGAAAACCATGAGGGATTTTGTCCAAGTTGAAAAAATTACATGTAAAAAAGAAAGCTTTTTATTATTTGTTATATTTCTGATTGTGGAAAACAAATAATTTTCAAAGAATAAGGTGTTGTTTTAGAAAAATGGGAACAAAAATAAAATTAAATTAAGTTTTAGAAAAGAAACCTAGCAATCCGAAAAATTATTTATATAAATTTATTTGCAAGAAGTGGGGGCATATATTCTAATAGAGGGAAGAACCAAAGATTCAAATTTTTGCTATCGTTCTTTCTAACTCCTTACTGGTTAGTGCTTTTTTTTTTTTGGGGTATAAAATATAATCCCTGGCAATTGATGCATAATTCTTTCTATGTTCACCAATTGAAGGCTAAAGTAACAATAATATATGTTGGTTACTAATTTTAAGTATAAATCGACTACCATAAAGATAAAAAATACTATACAAGACAAATTTACTGATTTTAGTTCATTTTTCCTTTAAATTTATTTTTAACTCCACACAATTTTTATTTATATAAATTTTTTAAAACTTATATTCATTAATATAGAGTTTCACGCTACTCTAAATCTAGTACACTAATAAGATAAAAGAAGTTATTATTTTTATCAAATTAAATAATGATCATCTGATATCTTTGGGGTTATCCAATAATAATATTTTTGCACATTATCGAATTTATAAGTTAAATGCAATCTATAATACAAATATTCAAGCACAAAGTTCTTCACTTTGCATTATTTTTATTTAAGTACATCTTTAACCAATTCACTATTGTACATTAATCTACTATTAAGCTCAGAACTAACTAGAATAAAGTCAATTTACTGGTTATCAAAGGAAATATAATAAGGGAAAGCAAAACGAATCATAATAAATGAACGGACAAAATAACTCTCAACTTTTAATAGCAACAATACGGGTAATTCACTCTGCCTAGTCTCCCAATAACCCAAAGAACGAGAACCAACACAATACATGATTCAAACTAAATCAACAAATCAAAAACCAAAACATAAACTCACATTANCACCCCCCCCCCCCCCCAAGAAAAAGAGGGGAAAAAACACACAAGAAACACATAAAAACACAGAAGAAACTGCACTGCACTGCACTGCACCTCGATTTGATCATTCCTCCTTGTGTCTGAAAAATCAAATTTATTTTTACTTAGACTACTAAGTTGCTACACTTTGTTTCACACACTCTCTCTCTATCTAGTCTAGGAGGGGATATTGCCAGTAATTGCAGTGTTTCAGTGGCAGTGCAAGAAAAGGGGGTTGGAGTTTTCATTGGGAAGGTAAAATATTTGCACCCAAAAACAAGCGAACCCATAAACACCTTCATGTTTTTCATAGGAACTCTCTTCTTCTTATTATTATTGTAAAAATACACAAGCTACCCTTTCCTTGTTACACAGTAGATAGATTATAGAGAGAGAGAAAAAGAGAACCCTATTTCTATTTTCACTTGCAGAGGGAAAAGAAAAGAAAAAGGAAAAAGAGTTGGGGTTGCAGGCTATGCTCTTTCTGAGAAGGAGAGAGAGAGGCAGTGTTTCTTATCTGACTACTACTATTACTAACTATGTATTCCATTAAGGATTTCCTGTAAAAAGCCTGATTTCAGTAAGCATAAAACTCGGGAGATCACTTGCTGCCTCTTTAGCCCCAAAAAGAGAGGGAAAACAAAGGATAATTACACAGAGTGCGCGTGTGTGTGTTTGTTTGGTTTCATAGGCAAAAATAAAAAGAACAAAATTAACACAAGAGAGTTATAAGAAACTCAGAGAAAGAAAAAGATACTAAGAGTTAATGGAGGGGGGTGGTTCTAGTGGAAATACTTCATGTTTAATGGGTTATAATGGAGATGACAACAACAACAACAGTGGAAATGCAGCCCTATGTCCTCCTCCAATGATGATGATGATGATGCCTCCTCCTATTAATAATAACAATGCAGAAAGCAGCAATAATATTGGTGGCAACAACAACAACAATATCCTGTTTCTTCCTTTCATGGACAACAACAACAATAATCCACATGAAGACGCAAACTGTTCTTCTACTTCCATCAAGTCTAAGATTATGGCTCATCCTCACTACCCTCGTCTCTTGTCTGCTTATGTCAATTGTCAAAAGGTGAAATT